CCCCCCTGGGGGGGATTTCTCGCTTTCTGTCTCTATGTCTCTCTCTGTCTGTCTGGCGAGCGCACATGCCCCATAGCGAAAATCTCTCTCAAAAAAAAAAAAAAAAGTTCTTTCTTCCCTTAATTTCCCTCCTCCCACTCCTCCATTTCCTCCTGTACTGTTTTTTTTTTAATTTGTTTTTTGTTTTGTTTTGTTTTGCTTTGTTTTGTTTTTGGAGCGGTTTTCGCTACAGGGCAGGGTGCGTACATTCGCCAGAGAGACAGAGAGATAGAAAGCGAGAAATCACCCCCCCGGGGGGATGGCCACGCCACAATCCCTTCTCTTCCATTCTCCTCTCGGGATCTTGGGCACTCACGCACACGCGCCCGGCGTGAGTTTAAGCCACTGGGTCCGGGACGCAAACCACGGTCGACTACATGGGAGTCCAACAACATAGCCATTACGCTAACTGCTGGTCCCCCCATACTATTTATAATATCTACTGTTATTCCCTCTTCATTTGTACCTTCCAGTCTTTCAGTTTCTTCCATAGAGTGAACACATTCTACATATAAGTGGGAACATATAATGCCTTTCTTTTGAGACAGCTCTCAGAGCGGGAGAATACATTTATAAGCTATACCCCAGATAAAGGAATGATAATCAGAATCTAAAGGAAACTCAAGCAAGTCATCTGATAGTGTCCTGATGCCTCGACCACCTGAAGGCTCAGCCAGCCCAGGTCATGGGCTCTTAGGTGCTCAGTGCACTCAGGGAAGTCTCCAGACACAAACCTAAAGCCTCCCCCTGTGGGTCAACCTTACGGGATGTCATGTTTAACTGCTGTACCATCATCTAGCTCCTTTCCATTAGCTTTCTGAAGACTCCTACTGTGTGTGTGTGTGTGTGTGTGTGTGTGTGTGTGAAATATTTTTTCTGACAAATATATTTTCTGAATTATTTGAGGATAAGTTGCATACATGATGGTCCTTCCTCCCAAACACCTCAGTGTTTTGTAGCAATAAGAATATTGTCTTATATAACTGCAATATAGTTATCAAATTCAGTATATTTAATCACAATGCAATACTTTTACGTTATCTATCATTGGTCTTCCAATTCTATCAATGGACTCAATAAACTCCTTTATAGTATTTCATTTTCCTCCAAAACAGGAGCCAAACTAAGGTCAGGTTTTGAATTAGATTGTCATGTCTCTTCTTTAGTCTCCTTGATTTAGATTATTTCCACAGCCTTTCTTTGTCTTTTATGACACTGATATATTGAAGAATACAGTCCTTTCTATAATTTTTTTGGGGGTGGGGGTTTGCTTGACACCTTCTCATGGTTAGGTTTAGTCTGTGTAGGGCCAGCTAGAATACTACATTAGTGATGTACCCTTCTCAGAGGCCCACCTGCTCCTCATTGTTGATGTAGATGTTGATTACCTAGTTGGGTGTTGTTGAATTTCTCCACTGTATAGTTACTTTTTCCCCCCACTTGTAACTAGTAGAAATAGTTGGGGAATAAATTGAAGGCCATGTACATATCCACTCCTCATCAAAATTTCCCCATAGATTCAGCATTAACTGATGATTCTTACCTGAGCCAATATTTACTATGATGGTTGCATAATGGTTATTTTTTCAGCCTCAGTATCTACTCCCTATTTACCATTCCATTTATTTATTTTATTCATGGATTTTGATGAATTATTATTATTTTTAGTTTGCTATATGGTGTATGTGCTCGCTGGAGAAGGAGACAGAGGAAGAAGCAGAGAAAGTGAGAAATCACCCCCTGGAAGGGTGGCCATGCTGCGATCCCATCTCTTCTGTTTGCCTATTGAGATTTTGAGTGTGCATGCACACACACTCAGCACATTTGGGACTTGAACTACTCTGCCGGGCCATGTGGAATCCAGTCATATTCCATGCCACTTGCTGGCTCTGAATTTTAATTTTTGATGGTTTATAGCTCATTATTATTGGTTTTTAAACTGGCTATTCTATCCTTGTGACGTTTCAAAATTTTTAAATTTTATTGTGTGTTTTTTGTTTCAAAAGTTTAAAGAATTTATTTCTTACATGAGAAAGGGAGATTGCGAGAGAGAGAAAGAGAGTGAGAAAGAGAGAAACAGCATCCCCAACAGAGTTTTTTTTTTCTTTTTTTTTTTTTGGAGAGGTTTTTGCTATAGGGCATGTGTGCTCGCCAGAAAGACAGAGAGAAAGAAAGCGAGAAATCACCCCCCAGGGGGGATGGCCACACTGTAATCCGTTCTCCTCCATTCTCCTCTTGGGATCTTGAGCATGCATGCACATGCACATGGCGTGACTTTAAGCCACCGGGTCTGGGACATGAACTGTGGTCGACTACATGGGAGTCCAATGATACAGCCATTATGCTAACTGCTGGTCCCCCCAACAAAGTGTTGATGATGTAGTAAAGCAACCTCAGCCAGCTTTGGATTGTGAGCTTAGGCATGAGTGACTTACTCAGGGAGGTTTCTGCACACAAAGATAGAACCTTTCTGTATAGGTCAGCCTTGCAGAACATCGTGTTTTACTGTTGTGCTACCATCTGACAATATTCAAAATAATGTTCTTATTTTCTAGCATAAAGAGATATTCCAAGCTCATCTTTACATGTTTATTATTTTTATTTGTTTTGAGAGAGAGAGAGAGACTCCTGACAGTTTTGCCATGCTGCGATCCTCTCTAAAGCCTTCTAGCTACCCAGAATCATGGGCATGTACATGGACATACCTAGCATGTTCGAGTCTACTAAGAATCTGAACCCTGGGCCTTTCCAAGTGGCTCTGGCACTGCATAGTGACATCTTAGAAACTGTGCCACCACAGCTGGGCCCCAAACTCATTTTGAACATATTCTGCATCAGCCTTGGAATTAGCCATTTCAGAGGATTTCTGGTTTCTACTTGTGGGAAATGGTATTAAACGTGAAGATCTGGGACCAGCAGTTAGCATAATGGCTATGTTGCTGGACTCCCATGTAGTTGACTGCGGTTCGAGTCGCCAGGCGCGTGTGCGTGTGTGTCTAAGATCCCGAGAGGAGAATAGAGGAGAAGGGATTGTGGCGTGGCCATCCCCCCCTGTGTTTACTTTCTCTCTATCTGTCTGTCGAGTGCATGTGCCCTATAGCAAAAACCTCTCAAAAAAAAAAAAAATAAACCCACGAAGATCTGAGGGCCAGGTGTGCTCATTGCTGCTGGAGCATCTTTGCTTCTAAGACCATTAGGGCTGGAGATATACCTGTATATGTGCAAGCGAATACCTGTCCCTAAATATATATACCTGTACATATACATAGTAATCTTATTATAAACCATGAGTGCACACTGATATTGATAAGGTTACATTTTAACAGACTTTATCTATTTCTTTGAATAAAATAAATGAAAATGTTTTTTCGTACATGCTCTTTTTCTTTCTTTTTAGAGAGAGATTTTTGCTATAGGGTGCATGCAATCACTAGAGACAGAGAGAGACAGAGACAGAAGGTGAGAAATCACCCCCCAGGGGGGATGGCCACACCACAGTTCCTTCTCCTCCACTCTCCTCTTGGGTCTGGGGCATGCATGCACATGAGCCTGGTGTGAGTTTCAAGCCACCACATCTGAAACTCGAACCACAGTCGACCACGTGAGATCCAGCAATGTTACGATTACATGTTAGTCTCTACATGTGGTTTTTCAATATTAATATTTTTGTTTAATAGCATTTTCTATAAAACATAGTCATGAAAGGAAAATGCTTAATTATATGCTTTTGTTTTTTGGAGAGGTTTTTGGTATACGGTACATGCGCTCGCCAGAAAGACAGAGAGAGACAGAAAGCGAGAAATCACCCCCCAGTGGGGATGGCCACGCCGCAATCTCTTCTCCACCATTCTCCTCTCGGGATCTTTAGCACACACACACATGCACACGGCGTGAGTTTAAGCCACTGTGTCCAGGACTCGAACTGCTGTTGACTACATGGGAGTCCAGTGACATAGCCATTATGCCAACTACTTGTCCCTAATTTGTATGTTTTAAAAATATCTCTGTTTTCTATTTTTAGCTTGTGACTGAAGTTGAATTTCTATTAAACCAACAAGCGGAGCTAGGTGATGCCACAGGGACTATAGCGCAAGTAAAACAAAAATTAAAAAAGCTGGAAAGTTTAGATGAAAATTCTCAGGTAAGAGTTTATACATTTATATATATAATCTTCAAGGTATGGGTACACATGTGGGCTCTGGTTCTCAATGTACAGAGATTAATCACTACTGTATGGATCTGGGTCAATAAGATTATATTTTAAATGTTCCTTATATATTTGAAGTATGATAGTTATGTTTTGGTGGGATGTAATAGTATAAACCCTTATGATCAATCTCTCACAACATTCTATCATAACATCCTATCATCTGCACAATGATATTGGCCTACATTCTGTTTTGTTCATTGTGGTTTGGAAACGATACTGCAAATGTGTCATGTAAGTGTAAAGAGAAGCCTCTGAGATAATGGTGTGTACTGTTTAAAGGCCACCTGCAGGAACAAGAGCATAAGTCATTTTTGAGAAGGTAGATAAATGTCTACTATGAATGATATTTGGTGTTTGGAAATGATGGGTTTCTATCTTACAAGAACATAATTCCCAAGGCTGGCAGGTGGAATGGTTGTTAAGGCACTGGACTCCCACGTGGCCAACTGTAGTTTGAGTCCTTGGCCTGTCAGCTTGCCTTCTCACTTGCCCTCTCTCTCTCTCTCTCTCTCTCTCTCCCTTGTCAAATTAAAAAATAATAATAGGGGCCAGCAGGTGGCATGGTGGTTAATATGCTGGACTGCCACATGGCTGACCTTGACTGGAATCCTGGACCTGGCAGCTTGCTTTCTCACTTTCTCTGTCTCTCTCTCTGCCTCTGGTGAGAGTATGTGTCTTGTAACAAATTCTAAAAAATGGTAATAATGATGAATAAAAATGAAATAATGATTAAAAAATAATAAACTTAAAGCATATAATTCTAAAATAATAATGATTCCTTAAAAGCCCACTAAAGATATATACAGTTGAACCTAATATAGACATACACAGGCTTAGTCTTATTAACTTTATGACCCTGGGTAAATTGACTTCTGAGCCTCCATGTCCTCATCTGTGAATTGGGAATAAAATTACTTTCTTTGCAGTGCAATTTTTTCTACTTTTTTTTTTTTTTTT